TCCTCCTACCTGTTTATTTTGTCTTTTGTTGAGAGTGCCTTTGGGGTCATATACAAAAGAAATCATTGCCAAGACTGATATCAAGGAACTTTCTCCCTAAATTTACTTCTAAGAGATCTGTGGTTCCAAGTATTACATTTCAGTCCTCAATTCATTTTAGGCTAGTTTTTGGGAGTGGTGGGCCCCTGGGTGGCTCAGTGGTTGAGCATCTGCCTTTGGCTCGGGTTGTGACACTGGGGCCCCAGGATCAAGTCCTGCATTGGGCTCCCTGCAGGGAGCCTGCTTCTCTCTTTTCCTATGTCTCTGCCTCATTCTGTGTGTCTCTCATGAATAAATAAATAAATAAACTCTTTAAAAAAATTTTTTTTAGAGTTCAAAAAGGTAAGGGTCCAGTTTGCATTATTTTCCCAACACTATTCGTTAAGGGAACTGTCCTTTCCCCATTATGGATTCCTGGTGCCTTCATCAAAGATTAGATGACTATTTTTTTTTAATTTTTATTTATTTATGATAGTCACACACACACAGAGAGAGAGAGAGAGAGAGAGAGAGAGAGAGAGAGAGAGAGAGGCAGAGACACAGGCAGAGGGAGAATCAGGCTCCATGCACCGGGAGCCTGACGTGGGATTCGATCCGGGGTCTCCAGGATCGCGCCCTGGGCCAAAGGCAGGTGCTAAACCGCTGCGCCACCCAGGAATCCCGATTAGATGGCTCTTTATATGTGGATTTATTTCTGGGCTCTCTGGTCTGTCCCACTGATTTACATTCTTTTGTACGCCAATTCTGTACTATTTTGATCACCATAGCTCTGTGACATACCATGGGCCCTTGAAAAACACAGGAGTACCTGTGTGTCCACCCTGGTGCAGTCAAAAATAGACATATAAATTTTAACTTCCTGAAAACTTAACTAGTAATAGTGCTATGGCTGACCAGAAGCCTCACTGATAACACAAATAGTCATTCAACATGTTTTATATGTTATGTGCATTATGTACTGTATTCTTATGATAAATTAAGTTAGAGAAAGGAAAATGTTATTAAGCAAATGATAAGGAAGAGAAAATACATTTATCATACTGGACTATAAAAAAATCAAAACTGCATTGACTATTTGCCTCTTTTGTCGTTGTATATGGATTTTAGAAGTATTTTCCTCTTTCTGTGAAAAATGACATTGGAGTTTTGATAGGAACTATACTGAATCTGCAGACAGTTTCGGGTAGCACAGACACTTTAATAATATTAAATCTGCCAATCCATGGATACAGGATATCTGGGAAAGATTCCTTTAAAGTGACAAATCATGATTCTGGAATGTAACATACAAGCTGGGATGGCTCCTTCACACAAAGATACCCCCACTGGCCTATGGTATCCCTACCTTAATTTTAGGGAACCACCGCTGCCCCTATCTCCCCCAATATGTGGTCCAAATGACTTGATCTTCTTCATCACTGGGACCAGTCCAAGGCTCAGCCCTTTGTATGCTGACCTGTCTTGAAGCGTTCAACTTTACCAGAGACCTGAACATTTTACCCAAGGAAAGTCCAGCCATTATTCAGAATACTGGCCATGGTGCTCAGTTAAAGGCATTTATAGGGCAGCCCCGGTGGCGCAGCGGTTTAGTGCCGCCTGCAGCCCAGGGCCTGATCCTGGAGACCCGGGATCGAGTCCCACGTCGGGCTCTCTGTGTGGTGCCCCTGCTTTTCCCTCTGCCTGTGTCTCTGCCTCTCTCTCTCTCTCTCTCTCTCTCTGTCTCTATGAATAAATAAAATAAAAATCTTAAAAAAAATAAAAAATAAAAAAATAAAAATCTTAAAAAAAAGGCATTTATATTAGCCACGGAACTTGGCTTTGCTGAGATCTGATTTTTTTAAAAGATTTTATTTATTTATTCATCAGAGAAACAGAGAGAGAGAGAGAGAGCAAGAGAGAGAGAGAGAGAGAGAGGCAGCGACACAGGCAGAGAGAGAAGCAGGCTACATGCAGGAAGCCTGACGTGGGACTTGATCCCAGGACTCCAGCATCTGGCCCCGGGCTGAAGACAACAGCACTAAACTGCTAAGCCACTGGGGCTGTGTCCTGAGATCTGATTTTTGATTAGATTTTTAAAGTTCATTAATAAAGCAAAGAAGGGGAAGCACCATATTAAACCTATCATTGCATCTTAAGGACAAAGTGATCCGAAAAAATTTTTTAAATAATACTTGCTAAATCATATTGTTTCAAACCCGACATTTTGCTACACAGACCCAAACTTTTTGTATATGGGTCTTTTTTCTGCTTTGTCAAAGCCTTGTGTCCAATGTTCTGTGCTTGAAAACACACTTGAACGTTTCCTGCCCGAAACTGGGAAAACAATACGAAGCAGGAAAGCACCTCCTGCTCGCCGTTTACTCTGGGGTTTGTTTTTTCCTATGCGAGCCACTGGGCAATTGCACTAGTCATTCAAACACGGCTTACATCAGGCAGCATTTTCAATTCCCTGATTCCTTTTTGGGAAAGTGTAGCATTTGCCCCTCATGACTCCCAAAGCCTAACAGAAGCAGGGCTGTGCAGGCCTCGTCGTCCCCCTTTCTCCCAACTGGTTATGGTAACGTCCCACCCTGAGCTTGTGGATGACAGGAGTTTCACGCAGCCCCCTTCCTGGGCCAGTAGAAAATGGAAACGCTCCGGATCTGAAGCAGTTAGATGCACCAAAGACAGACAGAGATGCTTAAACCAGGACACAGGGTCAAAGGAGAATCTCTGAGCGGCCTGACAGTTTTCAACTCTAATCGCGGACTGACTTCTGGAGAAGTTTCCGCCATGACTACACTCAAAGGCCCAACACCACGGCTGTGAATGGCATCTTGTTTCCCAGGATGCTGACTATGGCATTCAGGCCACACACAGCTGCATGATGCAGGTATTCTGGGAGCCATGGCAACGAGTGCTCCAGTTCACACCTTCAGTGCATGCTGCGATCTTCCAAGCACTGCACTTGACTGACCCCATCCCAGTCAGAGAGTTCTATAGGGCCAGAGACCAAGTCTATCTTGTCCATCAGTCCCCTGTCCAGCACCCGTCTTCAACCTGCCTGCTGCACAGCAGGTGCTTCATAAATGTACGATGAATTAATGAAAAAGTAAATGGGTGTCCCAACAATACAGAAGGAGTTGAAAACAACAACTTTCTAGATTTCAAAAGTAGCAAGAAGAAAATTCAACAGCAATAGGCAGAAAATGAGAAGTGCCTTCCACAGTAAAATCCATAATGACCAAAATTAAAATGATAGTGCCATCCAAAATTAATATTTTTTTCATTGAAAAATACAAAAATCAAACTACCCATATTACCAGGGGTCCGCAAACTATAGCCTACAGGTGTAGTCTAGCTCACTGCCTATTTTGGTATGGCCAGCAAAGTAATAATAGATTTAACTTTATTTATTTATTTTTTAGATCTTTATTTATTCAGGAGAGACACAGAAAGAGAGGCCGAGACATAGCCAGAGGGAGAAGCAGGCTCCCAGAAGGGACTTGTTCCCAGGACCCAAGGATCATGCCCTCAGCCAAAGGCAGAAGCTCAACCACTGAGCCCCCTAGGTGTCCCTAGTTTTTACTTTAAAATGGTTTGGGAGGGGATCCCTGGGTGGCGCAGCGGTTTAGCGCCTGCCTTTGGCCCAGGGCGCGATCCTGGAGACCCGGGATCGAATCCCACGTCGGGCTCCCGGTGCATAGAGCCTGCTTCTCCCTCTGCCTGTGTCTCTGCCTCTCTCTCTCTCTCATTCTATGTGACTATCATAAATAAATAAAAATTAAAAAAAAAACATTTAAAAAAAAATAAAATGGTTTGGGAAAAGATTCAAAAGAGGACACAAGAATTACATGAAATTCTGGTTCCATGTGCACAAATACAGTTTTATTGGAGCACAGCCAGGCGGGTTGGTTAATGTTATCATCAATGGGTTGCTCTCATGCCACAACAGCAGAGCTAAGTTGCTCCAACAGAGACCATACAGGCGGCAGAACTCAAAATATTTACTATCTGGCTGTTTACCAACGTGTGCAAACCTTGGGTCTACACCAGTGACTCTCACAGGGTATGGTGCCAACCTCACAAGGCGGCTTTTGGGAGTCACTCTGAGGACTGGTATGCGAGGCTGATCTGGAGGTGTATTTTGTCTTCTTAGACATGCCACCTCGTGTCTGAGAAGCTGCTGCCAAAATGAATGCAGGTGGCTAACTCTGTTAATACAGTCCAAATGGGAGGCACAGCCCAGCATTGGTAATGCCGGTGACAGGAAGAGATCAGAAATTATGTCTCTCCTCCACCTACCCACCTCCCCCCAAACCGCTGAAATATTATAACTATTATTCATGTGACTTTTTTTTTTTAAGTGGGTTTCATGTCCACCGTGGGGCCAACCAAACAGGGGGCTTGAACTCATGACCCTGAGATTAAGACCTGTGATGAGATCGAAAGTCAGAAGGACCCTTAAGGGAATGAGCCGCCCAGGTGCTACATGAATTCATACAATTTTTAAATGTCACAAAATATTATTTTTTAATTTTTCTTCAACCATTTAAAAGTGCAAAAACCTGTGTCAGCCAACTGGGGCTGGAGCTGGCGTGAAGGCCGTAGTTTGCTAATGCTGATCTGTGTACAAGGGAGGTAGGTGCAGTTTCCCACGAAGCTTCAATCCTTTCTAATCACTTCTAAATTCTTCTTACTTTGAAGGGGGATTTCTTGTTCTTTTTTTAAAGATTTTATTTATTCACGAGAGACACAGGAGAGAGAGGCAGAGGGAGAAGCAGGTTCCGGGTAGGGAGCCCGACGTGGGACCCGATCCCAGGTCCCCAGGATCATGCCCCGGGCTAAAGGCAAAACTAAGCCACTAACCCACAGAGGCTGCACTGCAAGGGGATTTCTGGGCTTTCCCAAGTTGTTCTTTGGAAGGCAAGGGACACTAGTTTTTCGAGACTTCACCAGATTACTCCTTTCAACCCTTGCAGCCATTCTGAACCCCTGAGAGCAGTGGCCAGCGCTACCGCCGCCCACGACACCCAGCCAGGGCCACAGCTGCACACCCGCACGTAGCGGCAGACACGAAGGCCTACGCGGCAGCTGGCGTACCCCCAAAAGCCGGCGTGGGACAGATGCCCTGTCTCTGCAGGATGGCCGGGACGGGGAACCTGGGAGCTTCTGGAGGCTGCAAATGCCCAAGGTCTCCAGGACGGAAACCTCTATGCAATCGGAATCTGCTCTCCTTGGGGCATGGACGCGTGTCACTGTGTGCCTTTCACCTCAATTAAGAAACTAATACTGCGAGGAAACCAGAGTCCATGGACCGTGGGTAGTGGGATACCACTAGGCGAGGAGAAGGAGAGGGCCAGGTGCACGTGGGCACGTGCTCCGTGGCCCACCCGGGACAACCAGCGCAGCGGGAAGCAGGGGAAGGGGCCCGGCCCTGGCGTGCGCAGTCGGGAGGACGCGTGGCGCGGGCCGGGCCGGGGGCCGCAGACGGCCTTCAGAAGGCCCGAGGCCTTGCCACTCCCGGCCTGCTCTAGCGGAACCCGGGGCGGGCGTTGCCTAGAAACGCATCATTGTCCTTGGGTTCTTAGCCTTGCGCAGGCATCAGTTCTGGGACACTTGGCGGGGTAGTCCGACCGGGCTGGACGCTTTTTGCGAAGTGGACCAGATCGGTTCTATGACCCGCACAAATGCTTTCCTGGACCCGTGGCCTGGGCTCTGTCCTAGGCCGTTTCCGAGGGCAAGCGGACGGCAGTGAGACTTCCATCACCGGCCACAGCTTCAGTGTCACCAGAGATGTGCCGACGAAGGGAAGGGAAAAGGTGGACGAGGTACCTGACTCTGGGAGAAAGGAGGACGAGGTGAGTCGGGTGACCTTAACATCACAGAATGAGAGACTTAAAACTCTGTGTAGTGATCCAGCAGAGAAGTATGAAGCTTCAGAGCTTCAACTAAAGCAGCAGAGTGCTGGCTACCGACATCAGCTCCAAAAGAACCAGGTACAAATAGCACTGCTTAGCGAAAAACCACAAGGGACCGAGGAGGAATTGCTGGGGCCGCGGTCAGCCGCTCCGAGGGTAAACTCTGCAGCTGGTGGCCAACTGTCAGCCATGGAATCTCATTCCCCCAGTTTCGATTTCGGTCATCACGCTTCACCTTTCCACGGTGACGCCGTGGACTTTGCTGATGTGATCTGGTCACAGCAAGAAATAAACAGATTGTCAAGTCAAGTCTTAAGACTTGAGGCCGAAGTCAGTCATTGGAAACGTCTTTCCCAGGCTTCGGTGCAGGGAACGAATAGCCTAGAGCCACTCAAAATCCGCAACCTGCAGAGTACCATCAGGGAACTGGAGCAGAAGCGAAGCAAGGAAATTGAGGATCACCAACTCGAAATGGCAGTACTGCAGAACGTCCACCGGCAGAAGCTCGCAGACGTCATCCGCAGGTACCGCGGAAAACTGAACGGCCTTGAGGAAAAGGTTGAAGAACTGCAAAGCCTGTTACAGAAGGACACCTGTGCAATCAGAGTAGCCGATGACCCTCCGATTGAGCACCTGCAGAAAACCATTCAAGTTCTACAAACTGAAAAAGCAGAGTCTGCCAGGAAAATGGAAGAACTGGAAGAAAGAATACAATCCCTAAGTGACCAACTATCTTCTGCAGAAAGTGAAAGAGACGTTTTGAGGAGAGAACAGGACCAGACACCTGAAGGAAGGACAGACAAGATCGAGGAGTACGAACTGCAGCCTTCCGTTTCAAAGAGACGTGATGCAGGAGTCACGCAGGAGAGCGCTCTTTCAGGGTGTACACCAGTGGAAGAAGGGTTCGGACTGCAGGAAGCACTGTCCCACGCCGGAAAGGGAACGGTGAGACTGTGTGGCGCCGACCAGGGCAACAACGATCTCACGCAAGACGCTCTGAAACTTCCAGAGCGAGTCCACATTGTGGGGCAAGAGAATTCATCGTTAAGCCGAGGAAAGGAAGAACTTGGACCGCCGCTTCCTAAAGTGAACGAGGAACAAGAGGCCACTGAACGCACAGCTCCGGGAGACATCGCCTCGCATTCAGAAGTACATCCGTTAAGACGAGACTCGGAGGCCAACGATCTAAACTTCAATCAGAGGACAACGGAGGAGGAATCCCTGGTAGCCGCGTCAGGGGAACCGTACGGACACGACGGGACCACACTGCCGGGGCTTCGATGGAAGGCCAGCTACCACAACAAGAAAATGAAGGCAGTAGCATCACCATTAAACTAAGACAAGAGGTCGATGAGGAAGAAAAGAGAGCTTGTCAACCTGAAGATGAGACGAGCGCGACTACAGAGTTAGATGCACAGAAAGAAAAGTTAATTCAAAGTGAACTGGCGCCTAATGATTTGCATCGGCCAGATCGGTCAGAAAGAGGTCACCTCAACATCCAGAAGGAGGCCTCTGAACCTCAGGAACATAGTAAACAAGACGAGAAGGCCCTCCGTAGTGCCACAGAGGAGCTAACGGAGTCTCTTAAGCAAGACTCTCCCGGTCATCCGGAAGACGACTTAGTTAGAGCGAGGGAAACTGAGCTTAGAAGGCTGGAACAAAAGGTTTCAGAAATGGAGCAGCTGAATGACCTTCTAAACAGACACAGCACTGATCTCAGAGAGGAAAACCACAGGTTGGTCTTGGCGCTCAAAGATACAAGACATCAGCTGGAACAATCTATTCTCCGTGGCAATGAGGATTCTCTGGAAAAAAACACCGCTCTGAGGGCTTTAAAAATCGATAAAGGACATTTAATAGCCAAGCTGTGTCGGGCGGAGAAGAAGCTTTTGGAAGCAACAAACAAGTATGATCAAACCATCAAAGAGTTGTCAAGCACACGTAACCCGGATCATTCGGCCTCACCTCTGGAGCGTGCCCGCTTCGTTCAAGTGGGTCCAGAGAAGGACGTCGAAATATTACACCTCAAGAAGAGTCTCGAGCAAATGGATGCCGACCATAAAGAAACCCAGGAAATCCTGGCCTGCGTTTTGGAGGAACACAAGCCACTGACGCAACTAGTCAAAGAGAAAGACATTTGTATTGACAGCCTTAAAGGAAGTCCAGAGCTTCCAGAGGACCTGGAAACGTGTACCCAAGCCTTAAGAAGAAATGAAATTTTACAGCAAGCCGTGGAGGAAAAAGACACACCCCTCACATCCACGACGAAAGAAAATACTCACCTGAGAGAAGAACTGGAGCGACTAAAACAACAGAGTCAGGCTTTCCCTAAACTCCCAGATGACATCATGGAACTAGAGTGTGAGGTGTTGCAGCTGAATGAACTAAGAGTGGACCTCGAAGACGAAATAAAAGAACAACAGAAGATCATTAACGATCAACAGCAGGGGAGGATACGACTGCTTCATTCCCTGGAAGAGCAGACGCGGGAAGTGGACCATCTTAAAGGCCAGCGGGAGCAGATGACCAGTGAGCACGCTCAGCTCCTTTCCGCCAAAGACGAGGAGATTCAGAATTTGCAAGACACGGTAGAACACGTTAAAGCCCAGCTGGCCGCCCCAGGCCGGCACGTCGCAACACAACCTTCTGACGCTGTCCAAGGCGCGACAAGGCAGCATGACGTCTCTAAAGCCGAGACGGAAAGATCGGCACAAGGAATAGAAGACCAAGAACTGGGAGGGAAGCTTCTAACCGAAAAGAACATCCGGCTGACTGAACAGACCGATCCGCTGTCCCAGGATGACCTCGGCAAACTAACTCGGATCATCGAGCAAAAAGATGCGGAGATTCAGGGTCTTCGGAGCAGAATATCTGCGGCTTCTCACGGCCAGCACGTAGAGCAGCTTCAGCGGCAGTTGCAAGAGTCTGCTCCGCAAAGCGAACGGGCACTGGCTGTCTTAGAGGACAAAACGAGAGAGAATAGCAATCTGAAGAGAGAGTATCACAAAGTGATAGACGTAATTGCGTCCAGAGAAGCAGACCTCAGGAAAACGCAAGAGGAAAATAAAAAGCTGGCCACTCGAATTGAAAATCGTGGTCAGGATATGTTTAGAGAAACGATTCGGCATTTATCCCACATTATTCGAGAGAGAGACCTCGAAGTCGACGCCTTAAGGCAGAAGTGTCAGACTTTATTGACAATTCTGCAAACACCCAGCACCGCTGATGAGGTTCCAGGCGTGCCCGTGCATCGGTTCAAGGAGCTTCTAGAGGAACGGGACACATTCAGGCAGCGAGTGAAGATAATGGAAGAGTGGAAGCAGCAGGTGGCGGCCACAGTACAAAATATGAAGCGCGAGTCACCCCGGCTACAGGAGCTTCTTCGACAACAGCAGGTGCGGGCCTTAACCGACATCGACGGTGATTCTGAGCTAGAGACGACCTATAGGGACGTGATCAGAGATTACAGAGGAAATGAAAACAGCCTAAGGAATCTGGAGAAGGAACTGGCACAAATTCAGCTCCGCGTCGGGGAGCTCTGCAACGCCCAGGATCGCCTTCTGGGGAAGCTTGACGTGAGCTGCCTCCAGCCCTCCACCCAGTCCTCAGAGTCGGAGGAACCTCTGAAGGCCTTTACATCGGACTCAGCGACTGAGTCTCCTCCGTGGCTCCAAGAGGAGGTGGAAGAGCTGAGGAAGTCAGTGCAAGACCGAGAGACGACGATTCGAACCCTGCAGGAAGACAACCAGAGGCTGATGCATCGCGCTGCTGCCGCGTCAGAACGCGAACGCAAAGCACGCGAACGCGCCGATTCCGAAATCCAGCAGCTGAGGGAGGAAGAGGCGGTTCTACACAACTTAATCCAGGCTAAAGAGCTCCTGATCCAGGCGAACAGCGAGGAGTTGCATTCCTTAACGCAGGACCTCACTGGCCAAGCGAGTGAAAATGAGCTGTTGAGGCAGGCGGTGAGAAACCTGAAGGAGAGAATAGCCGATCTGGAGACGGACGTGTGCCAACTGAAAGAGGAAAACGAAAAAAGAGCGGAATCCTCTAGGGAAAAGGAAGCAGAAAAGCAGGCACTGCAAGAGGCCAACGTGAGGCTTTCGAGGATGTGGCAAGAGGAGGAATCCCGCCACGCTGCGATCGAAGCCAAGGCACTTGCTCTGCAGCAACTACTGAGAGAGCGAGAAGAGGGCGAGGCCCGGGGACGGAATCAGCTTCCAGATGCAGCTACGTCGTCGCGGGAAAAGGCGGTTGTGTTCCAGCAGGAGAGTGTTCCAGCAGGAGTCCCGTTGGCGCTGAAACGCAAACAGAGGGAAAACTGTGCCCTCCAGGATGAGCTTCAGCAGCTGCGTGACAAGGAATCACACCCGAACCAGGAGCTGGGGAGAACGCGTCACCGCGCTGTGGAATCGGAGGACGCTCGGCAGCGTGGGTCTCTGCCGGCAGAAGACAAAGTGGCTAAGCTGCAAAAAGAAGTCACGGTGCTGGAGGAAAAGCTGGCGGTGTCCTCCAATGCCACGGCGAGTGCGACCCACCAGGCCAGTATGCAGGTGGAGTCCCTGCGGGACCAACTGCGCCTCATCACCCGACAGAAAGAGGAAACCGCGGCGCGGCTTTCTGCCTCGCAGGAACAAGGAAAGCAGTACGCTCAAACACTAGCCAGTCTCAAGTCGGAGGTAGCCGAGTGGATGGGAAAGACAGACACTCTACAAGGAAAACTGACGTCCTTACAGGCACGATTCACTACAACAAACACCGTCTTGGACCTGAAGGAAGACGAACTGGAGGAACTCAGAAAACAGAACGAGGTCCAGCAGGAAGTACTGGATGAGACGCACAAGAAACTGATGAACCTCGTAAGCCGCTCTGAAGGAATGGTGGACAAAACCCTAGTAAGGAGACTCTTACTGGGATACTTTCAGGCGCCTCAAAAGGATCGGCCTGAAGCACTGCGGCGGATGGGAGGCACCCTAGGGATCAAGGAGGAAGACGTGCGGCAGCTTTGCAGGGAAGAGCAAGGTGGGGTTATCAGATGCACGACTGGGGGGCCTGGATCCAAAAGTACCCCCAAGCCCCCCGTGAAGCCAGATCCCCAACCGACGCCCAAGAGCTCCTTTGCAGGGCTTTTTGTCAACTTCCTACAAGGGGAATCCGATTTAGCTCTTCCGCCACGCAGTCCCTCTGCTGCTGACAAGAAGCCTCCAGATTCGGTAGGAAAAGGAAAAGGCACTAAGGAAAAAGGCCCACGGCGGCACACAATCACCCTGGGATCCACACCCCCAAAGAAAGCTGCCAAGCCCCGCGCCACAGCTGTCTCTCTTACTGACCCACGTGGACCGGAAACTGACGGATCACGGCATCTTCTCCTAAATGCTGTGACTAATGCTTTACCCACGTACACACCCTTGATACTCTCACCTGCCAGCGAGGTTGGGAGCGCGGCCAGAGGCCTCTCAAACCAATAGAGGAGTCTCAAGCCCGAGACCACACGGCGCGTCCAAGAACACAGGTCACTGTGTGCGTCCCTCATCCCAAGAGAGCCTTTTGCAAAACGTACCATACGTTTGCAGTTTTGCTTTCAGCCTAATAAACATATTCTTACGTGACTTCTTTTAAAGTGTCTTGTACTGACTGCAGACGTATGGATTTGCCAACTTCAAAGAGGGCTTGCTTCTCATGAGAGACGACATGGGTGGGGGTTTGGGTTAGGAGGCTGTGGTCAACGGATACTTCCAATAGTGTTGGCGATGTTTTCATTTCTTTTGTACAAGGAGCACGTATCTACCGATACCTCGGGGAATGAAAACATCGACCCGTTTTTATGGTTTCTTAAGGTTTTCTTTTTGGATTCACGAGAGAGGCCGACACACCCGCAGAGGGAGAAGCAGGCTCCACGCGGGGGAGCCTGATGCGGGACCCCATCCCAGTTCCTTGGGATCAGGACCTGAGCCAAAGGCGGATGCTCAACCACCGAGCCACCCCGGGGCCTCTCAACCGGTTTTAATGTCAAACACACGAGCGCGTACTACTCCTCGTATGAGAGGGGAGGTGCATGGCATGCTCGAAAGTACAACATGAATTATTTCAAAAGAAAAATTCAAGTTCCATTTCCCAGCTAGGTAGGTCCCATTTCTTTTTCCTTTGATTTCTAATCCACCCCCCCTCCCCCGATGCTTTTTCTGTTGCCTAGAAAATCCCTCTATGAGTAACCTGATTTCTGTCGGGCCTATTAGAGATACACGACTATTTGGGAGTAGACCATTCTCCGACTTGCTGTTTCCTAACTTCAGTCTGCTTTAGAGACCTTTCCAAACGTGAATCCATCCCTACTGGCA